TTTTTTATTACGACGTTTATCCTCGAATAGATGGACTGGCAGGTGAAAAGTCTTCTATGAAACTTCTTGAACGAAACAGAGAATAAAAGAGACATTAGAATGATATTATAATTGAAACGTGTAATGAGAAAAACGTGAAATTTCTCGAGTTCATTAACGACTATAATGCATTCTATTTTATTAAGAGATCAACGGGGCAAGAAGTGAATCAACTACCTTGAAGACGGACGAAAGGAACAACAATGAAGCTACGAGCTAAATGAGAGCCCCGGAGAGCTTCGAAATGATTCAGACGGGACCCTTTCAACTTTATGAAGCGAATCTAAAGTACTCTCGAATCTCGAACAAAGCAAGGAGGATTAAGTAGCAGCTCTGTCTACTGCTCTCTCACAGGCGTTTGATATTCAAAGATATTTCCCGATGAACAATCTAGTTCTCTTGATTGTCGAACTCTTTAAGTGTTTATCGACTTAATATTTATTGAAACGCATCGTTCGCCAAAACTCACATTTAATATGACCGAGCTTAAATATTTGAGGAGCAGACTTTCAAAATTCAGGATTGGCAAGTAACGCGTTATTTGTAACATCGTTACCGTTACAAGTTACTTTTTTCGGTAACGAATAGGTAACGACGTTATATTTTCTTCTGAGTAACGTTTATGGTAACGCAATTACATTTTTGAGGTAATGGTAATGATTTTACTAGTTACTTTTATCGTTACTTTATTTCTAACTACGTAAAAGTTTATAATCGCGTGTAACTATAACCCTAGAAAACAGAGATAAAACATTAAGTCTGATTGGCTGTCTAAATCACGCGATCACACCTTTTTTTCATTGTATTTACAGTTTACAATGTTTACACGCATAAACTAACTCAGATATAATCTTTAAAATATATTTAATTTCTTAAAATAAAATTTTTTCTGTCATATCTTACAAGTTAAATATATGTTTATAATGCAAATTACAAACAATACTATTTTTTTATTATAATATCATTTTAGTCTTAGAGTATTCACGATGAATCATTCGTATTTTGTTTCTTTTTTTTTTGCACCTGGCTAAATAATTCTTTCTATCCTTTCCTCCTTTATAAATGTTTTTTTTAAAGATGTTAAAATATATATAAATATCTATTCATAATTTTTATATATTTAGAAAAATTATGGAAATTAAAACCACACACAAGCGATTCATCATGTAAAAGAAAATTGTATATGTATTAAAAGTTAAACGTATAATTTAAAGATATCTTATTAAAATTAATACGAAAAATAAATTTATTTAAGTATAAAAATTACAAACAATGCAATATATATTATGTGATATGACAGTATCTATTTCATTCATGAAAATAACGCACAATGTTTACTTAGGGATATATTTTTTGGGTTCTATTTCTCTGCTAAACAATAGAATTTTGACATCTTTTTTACATTTACCGCAAAATATATAATATTCTCTTAGTCAAGAAAAAAAAATAACGAAAAACGACTCGTTACTTTTTGAGTAACAATAACGGTAATGAATTATTTTTGCAAATGAATAACGAGTAACGGGAACGAGTTATTTTTTAGCAAAAAGAACGATAACGGTAACGGTAACGAGTTATTTTTATGAGGTAACGTTGCCAATCCTGCCAAAATTTCATTTTCTTAGTTAGAGATAGCATAGTATTCAGTGTTGAATGATTTATGTTATAAACTCTGAAATGTTCAGAAAGCATTTTTTCATCGTTAATTTATATTTATATGTTGAAAAAATAGATATTTTAAAGCATTTATATTTTACAATTAGAGACAAACAAAATGTATTTGTTTAACATTTTTAGCAATTTTGTTTAATATTTCACATTAATTGGCATATTATTTTCGATAAAGTGCGTAATTTTCTTGTGAGCGTAGTTTCTTTTTTCCTTTTCTGAATATTGCAAATTTTGAACAAAATGTATTTTGAAAATCTCTTTATTTATCATTTAACTTAAATCGTTTAACTTTTAAAAGAGCATATTTAACATTTATCGAATAATATTCAACGATTATAATCAAATTATTATACACTCGACAACGTTCACGATTCGAAATTCTTCCTTCGTTACAAATAACGTTCTTTCTTTTTCGCGATATTCGTAATCTTTAAAATATTGAATTATGCAAATAAGAATGAAGCAAACAGTCGTAGGTGGAAGCAGAAACATTCGTTCGGACGTAAAAGTATTATACAAAAAGCAAAAATACACTCCGCATTTCATTCACACAATTCGCAAAGCTTCCTCCAAGATCTAAGAATCTGCTTGCGTATTTTATTATATTTTTCTCGGTAAAACAGGAAGAGAAAATCTCCGCTTTTAGACGTTATCTACCATAACGTACTCAAATTCATATTTCACGAATCAAGCACAATGAAAAAAATTCAGCCATCTCGATTAATCTTCGATACGTGATGTTCCAAATGCACATAAAACGCGGAAATGTATTCTTACTGCCTGCAACTCTGCACTTTACTTAGAAAAATAAATCTCTCCGCACGAGCCAAATGCAAAGAGATAAACACGTCGGAGAAGATGAACGAACGATAATCTGTCTGGCAGTCAACCCGGTTAAATATTTTGTGAACGAGCAGCGTGTATTAAATCTTACAATACATATTATTTTGCAACGGAAAGCGTATAAACTGTTTGAAAAAATTTTATTAATAAAAAAAATTCGAGAAACGGAAAAAACAATTATTGTGTAAAGTATCTAAAAATTTAATTACATACAGAACTGAAAATAATTTTGTTCAATTATCACAATAATTTGTAGAACATAAAATGGTTGCTGGAATATCAATATTTTTTTCAATAACATTTCTTGAACATTCTAATTATTTTTATACTTGAATACATAATTATTTTGATAGTTTCGCAAAATTATTTTCAGATTTTTAAGTAATTTTCGAGCTAAAAATTGTCACGTTAAGAATTTATTACAAAATCATCGTCAATAACATCATTATGATTTTTCTTAAAATGACTTATACTTGATGTCATCTTGGTTTTATATCGATTTTGTGTATCACCTAAGAGCTAGTTAAATTTTTTAATACTTCAGCAAAACCATTTTTCCACATTAAAAATATATCTCAATCAAATATTCCCACGAATGAAATGATCGAAAGAGCTTCTTTTAATATAAGAACACAAAAATCTGTTTTTAATCAAAAGAGACATGGCTTAATCCACTTCCGTAATCACGCGGAGACGAGATTATTAACTTAATTCATTAAAAGAAACTCGAAATAAACGCGCTTTAAGTAAGCCGATTACAGAAACTACGACGTAAATTATGAAAAAATGTATGCTCATGGATATTAATTACTTGTAAGAAAGGCAGAAAATTTTTGAGATTTTTACAAAATCAGGAATTAATAAGTATGTATGATACAAAAAGTCAATGAAAAAGAATATAACGAAAAAAATAATTTTATCACTCAAAAATTGAATTAGATCTGAAAATTATTTTGTCGGACTATCAAAATAATTATATTATTAGGTGTTGGAATTAATTCGTAGCGTTTTACAAGTGATGGGAAGTACTTTCATTAATGTATTTTTTAATGCTCATGTGAAATAAATAACATTCTTTCATTAAAAACGCTACGAATTAATTCCAACACCTAATATAATAATAATAGTTATATTTCCAAGCAAGATGATATATTTTAATTACGCCTTGTTGATGTTAAGATGTTATTAAGACATTAGAATGTCACTTTGTTACTTAAGATAGAATAAAATTTAATGGATATATATACGGAGAGAATTTTTTTTTTTAATTTGAAAATATGGTAATTGTAGTACAATATAATATTTTAAAGATTTTTATCATACACTTCAGTAAAATTAATCGAACTTTATATTTTATATTTTATATTTTATTATAGATAATGAATGAGAGAAATTTACATAAAAATTCTTCGAAATATAATGTTGTTTACCAAGATTACCATGTTTTCAGGGTAAATTCTAAGAAAAAATTCTCTCTGTGTATAAAGTATCCTATATACAAGGTATATAAAAAGCCTGATTGCATTAATTAAAATTCTGATTTTAAATAGACAAATCAGAACTTTCTGACTGAATCTATTAGGATTCTAACTGAGATAACCAGATCGATATAATCAGAATCTTCTCGTTCGTTTTTAACCAGAAATTTTTCTCAATGTAACACTGCAAAAAGTATTCACATTTTAACAATCAATTTGAGAATCTTAAGTAATTATTTTAATAGTCCAACAAAATTATTTTCAAGTCTGTATTTGGCTGTAAAATTTTTTATTATTTTAACAAAACTGTTCTTTCCGTGCACGATAAGACACTATATTTGTCGTAAAATCGGAAATTCATATTAAAACTTGTATTAAAAATGAACAAAAGTACTTATAGATCCGAAGAACGAAAAGTTAAAAAGATAAAGTGATCAAATTTCAAACATGATACAATTTTGAAAAGATAAATGAAATTGAATCCAATTTTCGATTCAAGTTTAGTAAATCTCTCATTGTATGGAGGATACTAAAAAGAATCAACTAGGAAAAAATCAAGCTTAAACTTCAAAAATTGGATTCAAATCTTATTTCACTCAGAATTATATCATATTCGATATTATATCACCTTATTCTATTTTTAAAGACATTAAAACATTGCAAAGGTGAAAGTGAAAATTCCGGAAGTGAATAAAGAAAAGTCCCAATCGAAATATTATTTCGCCAACGCGAACATTGATAAAAAAACGCTAATAATCAACGCAAAATGATATTATCATTGTGACACATTATTTTATATCACATTCATTATAAATGTTTTATTCATCACGAGCAATCTCATTATATCATAACTTCAAAGTACATGTAAATATGCTAATGACGCCGTGACAAAGAGTGTCGAAAATTAATTCCCATATTAATTAATGAAATGCAAACAATGGAAAATTCGGTTGAAAGGAAGAACGGTACCTTCGCTTCCGGTCGAAGTCGCTCCATCGGCACACTGTCACTTGCTCGCCGTCGCGCGTCCAACTTCTCGTTGTTTCAACACAATTCGCGAATTTCCACAGCACAATGACAATGGTGGTCGCTCGCTACTATCGAAGAACGGGGTGCGAGGAAGAAGGTGACGTCCAGGTACGACAAAAGGGACACTCACTTACATGTGTCGCTCGAGAAAATTGGCCCAACCGCGGGCGGGATGACACGACTCATCTAGGCGCCGATTCTAAACTGGAAACAGAGCGCGCCGCGCGAACGAACGAACTGCCCGCCAAGCCGAGTGACGACGGACGAGCCCGAGAACGGCCGAAGAACCGCAAAAAGAAGCCGGCGCGGCGCGGCCGCACATACTGAAACAGAACGATAAGTCATGGTAAAATGACGTTAAAATAAATTGTTATTGATTGAAAAATAATTCTTAGGTCCAATTTCACAACTCATGTTGTGTCATTAACTCTTAACCGTTTAAAATTTAAAAATTTTTTAATTGAAAAAAGATGAAAAATAAGTTGAATCTTGGTTAAAACCAAGGCTCAATAAAATAACTGATGCGACTTATTTAAAATAAAAAATAAATAAAATATAAAATAAATTCTAGAAACTTATTTAAAATATAAAATCATAAGAGTCGGTAAAATCACTGATACGACTTATTTGAAATAAAAAATATAAAATAGGTTCCAGAAAATTATTTAAAATTCACAATCGATAAAAAACTGATACAACGTATTTAAAAAATATAAGTTCCAAAAACTTATTTAAAATAGTATATAAATAAGAAATAGATCAAAAGAAGTTATTTTAAATAATAAATACTAAATAACTGTTTAATTTTTTGTTATTTAAAATGTATATTTATTAAATAAATAAATTATTAAATAAATTTATTTGAAATAAGACTGAGCCCCGGTTAAAACTGTTAAAAGTTAACCGTAAATTGTGAAATCATTTTGAAGCCATTTTGATGTTATTTTAATATTATGGGTATGATTAACGTGATGTTACAAATGCTTTAAAGCATTCTTTGATCGGTCAGTTCGTAAAATTCTTTCTTTTGATTGATCAGTCAAATATTTCAAAATATTTATGAGATTTTGGATGTGTTCCATTTCACGCATGAATGCTCATAAGGGTGGGAAATTAAGTTATTTTTTTTTAGGATACCTTATATATGTTTGTGTTATTAATGAAGTATAAAAAACACAAAATAAAATGTAACATAAAAAACTTGGGATAAATAAAATGTAACATAAAAAACAAAATTCTCGAATTATTATACTTAATATTTCTATAATAAAGAGTGATTTATGAGGCTCAGTTTCACAACTCACGGTTAATAATTTTTAATTGAGAAAAGAGGTTCAACTTATATTTCTCATTTCTTTCTAATTTTCAGAAGTAATTTCCAACCCTGCCCATCAATGAATGGAAGGAACACGTTACTTCCTTAACAGCACAAAACTTGCATCAAAATTGATGCAATATTGCAGCATGTATAACTGCTGTTACTTTTTTGATAATGACTGCATTCAGCGGAATACAACAGTTTTGCAACCGTTTTATGATTGTCTGCTGAGATTATTCCTTTAGATTTAAAGGTGTCTTTCTATGCTGACGCTTGACACTCGTTTTCAGCGTCAAAATAAGTCGCATAATCAAAATTGATATTCGTTAATTTCTATCACATGACTTATTTTGACGCTAAAAACGAACGTCGAACGTCAGCATAAAAAGGCAATATATATTTATAAATCAGATTACATAAAAATATAAATAAAAATATAAATATTAATCGGGCTCTCAAAATTAAAAAACACAATACAATACATGGATAATAAGATCATATTCGAATTATTCGTGATTCTTTCTCTCTGATGCAGATTAGATATATATACTTTTATCTAATCTAATAAGAAAACTTCCAACAAAATAAATAACGTTTCGCAGCCAATGTATATTTGTTTCACTTCAATTTGCTTCACCGTTTGCACCAGCTCAGAGAGCTCAGCGCAGAAATAAAAGACAAACCTTTTTTAAGAACATTTTGTTGCCTCAGCGTCCTCAGAATGATGCAAAGTATTACAAAGAGCGAACGCCATCCTAGTAATTTTAACGAAGCTGGCATGTGGCGCCCTCTCTCGAGGACAACGGTAAGTATCTCGGAAAAGTCGAAAAGGTCGCTCGCAAGATGGCGTTAACGTATATACGACACACGTAGCCGCGAGAGGGACGGCGCGTCGCTCGCGATCGCGAGTCCTGTCGGCAGTGAAAAATGGCCGGAGCCAGCGACTGGTTTAGCATCGGCAGCACGGTGCTTTGTAAAACCTGCCATGAGAAGGAGATAGAGGGTGAGGTGTTGGCGTTCGATCCACAGACCAAAATGCTGATACTAAGTATCCTTTTTACGCAAAAACGATACCGGCCAACCACGGCACAGTGACAACGATGATGGTGGTCGCCCGCGTGCGTTTCCGCCGCGCGGGGACGCAGTGTAAATAGCGTCGCGTCACTATGACGGCGATATTTCCGCCGCATATTAACACGAGCTTTTCTCGTGACACTCCGTACCGCGAATTTGACGACGTTCGTTGTCCAGGTCGTACAACTCGTCCGGGACACGTACGTGGCAACTCGGTCGCGCGATTCAGGTTAGTTTCATCTTATCACCATCAACCATGCTGGTCTATCTTGCCTGCCTGTTCCCGTCCGTCTTCTTCATGCATGTATGTTTTGTTGTCCGTGTTGACCGTGTTTCACGTTTCTTCGTCGACGTGCTATCTACGAATCGCGCGATGTCCTGTGTGTTTAACCGATTTCGTGAGCACGTGACTGTACGCTCGTCGACAGTCGATCTCGCTCGCTGGTGCACTTGTTACGTCTTTGTACATTTTTTGATCAACTATCAGTGACATGTATATATATATATATATAAAATATATATATAACGTTAATCACTGTTGAGTCTTAAGTCATTGAATATCTTAATGTATGTGTTGGAACAACTTCCTATTGATAAACAGAAAATTTACAAATCTATAACACTTGATCTACAATGAATTCATTGAAATTATGATTACATTTATGGAATTAAATTATGTATAGTAATGATCTAATGCTTTAAAATTTAAAAGTTTTTGCTGAGCTGCTATTATTTTGTCATAAATCTATTGCCGTAGTTCATCGAGATGTAATTATGAAAAGCGACATTAATCTGTTAAGTATTTGAAAGTAATATTTTCCTTAACAGTAATTTTTGTTAGAATCTCCATCGTCAAGTGGGAGACCCTCATTAAATGATATACATATAGTAAATTTATCCCTTGTGTCCAACGTTCAAGTGACACGAGAAGTTAGTCCTACTACCAGTGAACCACCACAGAGCCTTAATTTACAAAGGCTAAACACGAGAGTCCGTAATCAGATCGATGAGAAGAGGAGACTAGTAATGGCTCTGCAGGCCGGAGTATCTCCAGAGGGACAGAAGCTCTTTATTGCTATTTCAAAAACTATTCAAGATATTACGTGGAATGGAGCTAATATTGTTGTATTTAATAATGTCACTATTAGACCGCCGTACAAAGTGGACAATGTTCATGGAAACACAGAATCTGGTGCATATAGACATGTAAAAAAAGTGGTACGTACTGAGATATTTAAATGAACAGAATTATATTTGCAATACATGAGCATATATGTTTCTTAATTTATTAGCTGTTTTAAATTCATCTTTTTATTGATAAGTACTTTATCAATAGAATATAAATTCAAAGCATTTGTTCAAGATTAAAATGAATTTTTAAGTCGAAATCTTTTTATAAAGAAATTTAAATTAAATTTATATTTAAATTAAATTAGCATCTTATTTTTTATTATTTTCTTGCTAAATATAATGTAAAGATGTAGAAAAAAATATTTTGAATAAGAGATATATGATCGTTTCTAATTTATCTCTTTATTGCATTTACATTATCTATTTATACATCCATCTATCTTTTACAGGTTGAGAAACATATTAAGGATACATTACAAGCGCAGCAACAACGGGATCAACAACAACAGCAAACACAAAAGGGTGGTGAACTGCAATAAGAGTCCAACAAGGCACTATGTCATCAAGATCGCTATAGCATATTTTTGAAGAAGTCCCAATATTTGACAAGAAATAAGAAAAGGAAGATTTAACAGGATACTAAACAAAATAGCCCGACTGCAGAATAATTTAGATAAGCCTATCGCGGATAATCGGCATTTTCGAGCAAGCTCCAGTCGTTCGTTCAAATGGAGAAAAAAACGCGTACATTCGTACACAAAAACTTCACATCGACTTTAATCCGAATATTGTTAACAGTATCGCATATGCAGCATTTTATAAATACAATCAGACGTACACTTCGTAAAATTATTAGTTACCAGCCTAAAAAAAAATGGAAAAGCAAATGAATCGACTAATTCAAGCAGTGCGTATTTGTCATGTTACTAGCACTACATTCGTACGCGATGTATTACCAACGGCGCCGAAGTCTGTGCTATAGTTCAATTCAAAGTCGGTTCATCGGTTATCGATAAGAATCAACGTATCTTGACGTGATTCGAGATCGATTTCTGTTTCTAAACGAGTCTTCGCGTCCATGAGACACGGTGTACACGATTCAAGCCCGCATGAAGCGGTCAGAGCTTTCAAGACGCGATTTTCAATATCCGAAAGCACAAACGCGTCGCATGAAATTAGGATAAAACGCACAGTTGCCAGAGCGCATTATAAAATAATTCTGTATAATTCTGTAAGTCATTGATCGCGTTTAATAGAATTTTTTTTTTTTTTGTAATTGGAAGTTTTCTTTGCATTGATTGAATTATATTTCTACATTTAGAGAAATAATCCTATCTCGGCGAAGAAAATGTTCAACAGTTATAAAAGACATTCTTCTGAGAACACGACTTACCTGTAACTCTCGGCAATAAAACGATTTACTATCTGCGGTATTGTCGCAACGTATTGTCGTGATAAGATCATTCCACGGCTTTACGTTCACTCAACTAAGGGAGTATAACATTGTAATGTATTGCCAAAGTTAACTGACGAAGACAAATTTCCACAATCGCTTTCGAACAAAACAAGCGCCTTTCTCCTGCAATATGCATTCTTTATAGAAAGTATAAGAAGGAATTTTAGGAAGTTTAGGAGCGGATTTTCCATCCGGCGGCGATCCGTGCCTTTTATCCCAGTTTCGAGACTTGACGATCCAAGTTCCGTTTCGAAGCTCGCTCGTCGCAAGCGATTTCATGTTATTCTCAGCGA